TTGTGCCCTGCCCCAGCCCTCGCACACGCATGTATATGTATGCATCACACGCTTCGCATGCTACCACATGCACATTCTCTCTCCTTTGAATGAAGGGTATATTGCATGAGAATGCATGCTCTTAAATACAACTCAAAAAACTCTCTCCTCTTCAATATAGGACTCAAACCCACATCTTTCTCTCTTTACTAAACAATTTAAGAAATAACAATAAAACTTTGGTTGTTGTTTTGAAATACACTTCAACATTTTTCAAATATAAAATACTAACAGTGGAGTTTCTCTCTCTATAGATGGGTTCTCTCTTTCTCTCAAATGTTTTCTCTACCACCTCAAAATCAGATTTTGGGTTTCTCTATACTAGTAGAGTGGTCGTGGTTCTCCCTCTATATCAGTTGGGTTTCTCTATACTAGTTGAGTCTCTCTCTCAGATGAGCTTCTCTGCCTGTCTGAAAATTAGATTGGTTAGATCTATGGCGCCTCACAATTAGATGGGTTCTTTCTCTATCTCTCTCTCTATTAGATGCGTTTCTCTACCTCAAAATCAAATGGACTATGACGCCTCAAAATAAGATGGGTTCTCTCTCTCTATCAGATGGGTTGTCTCCTTCAAAATTGAATCGCTACTATACTGATTCTTGAAGTTGATATATTGTTAAATCAAGTTTAGGGAAAAGCCTTAATTGGTATATTTTTCCCTAATGTAATGTTCTTTGAGTTGTTGCTAAATTTGGGGATTTTGATAGAAGTTTAGCTTTCAATGATTTTATGCATGTTTATTATAATTATTAGTTGAATTTGTCATGTTGTTGCCGAATTTCTTTTTCAATAGAGAAAAACCCTAAGTTAACCATTCCTAAAAAAAAAAACAGAGAAAAACCCATCGAGCATAATATTTATTTATAAACAATGATTTTCATAATAACTACTAAATAAATCACAAATAAAATAAAATTTAATTCAAAAAATAAAAATAAACCACAGTTCAACACAATCTAAATCAGAAATACAATAAAGCTTACAAAATCTGAACTTCATGCAGTAATTTTCTACAATAGCACTAAAATCTGCTCCATTTTAAGGTAAAAATACAATAAAAGCCCGTACCTCTAATATGCAACTTAGGGATAAACTGTAACGAGATAATAAACCCTAATTGGTGATAAACCCAGTATTTAGGGATAGAAATTCTTTTATAGGGGAATATATTTTTTTCCAAAAAAATATTACTTTCTAGTAGGTATAAAAATGGAAATTTCATAAAACAATAAAAAGTTATTGAACTTTCCAAACAATCAAAATTTAGAGTTTATTAATGGATTTTTTTTAACCGATATTTTAAAAAGCTTCAAAAAACGTGTTTTAAAATTTTTTATGAAAAGAACATAATTTTTTTACGATCTTTTGAAAAAGGGCCAAATTAAAACGTTTTAAAAAATGATGATTTTTTTAAAACAACGCGTTTTAAACGGCGACTTGCTAACTATGGTCTAGACACATTGCAACGGCCTTTGTATCAACAATCATTGTGTATGCTCAAGCAGCAAACAATCCATCACATGTATTTCACTGGGTTGCCAAAGATCCAGATTTGGGCCATGTTCGGTTGGAGTTCGGGCTATTTCGCCGGTGGCTGCTTAGACCCATTCTTTTTTTTTTTTGATTCGGGTTGGTCCAGATAGGCCCGTGGAGAGCTTGGCTTTCAAATTCCTACCCTTAAACCTCCTCTTTTATTCAGCCCAATTGCCCAAGCTCCTCTCTCTCTCTCTCTCTCAAACCCAAAATCTCTCTCTCTTTCTCTCAATCAAACCCAACCTCTCCCTCCCTAAAACCCAATCTCTATCTTACTTATATTATATTAAGGTTAAGGAAAAGTTATATAAGGGCGATGCCCTAAGCAATTAAATTATGGTGCACATCAAAAAGTCACTAGAAGATGTTGTTTTGATGCCCATAAATTCTCAAATCGAGCATCATAACTTCCAGATGTATGAACATAAAAAAAATAGATTTTAAGTCTTAGAATTAGTGCATATTGTAATGTATTTTTTGGACAGTCAATTTTCAATATTTTCAGGTGTTCATAGATCTGCTCGATCTACACTATTTTTAAAGCTTTAAATTTTATAATTAGAGATGAAAATAGATTTTTAAGTTATCCCAAAGATTTCAAACTTCTTTCAACGTATTTGAAGGTGTGCCGTACTTTGATTGTTTAGATTCTCGGTCCTATTTATAAACCACACCCTTATATTATTGAAGACTAAATAAAGGGAGGAAGCTCTAACATTTGAGAAAAAGGAAATATCTGTATAAATTTACTTTTAAGGGTTATAACCGGTAATGGTAGATTAGGGAGGGCATTCGCGGCAAATGGAAGAAGGAAGAAAGATATGACTTTAGGGGGCATGGATCCATGGAAAAGGATTTTCTAAAACACACTTTATTTCTTTGAAATATATTTATTGAAATAATTAGTTTTCTATAAAATAGATTTATGTTGTTTGGATGGTGGTATGACACATAGATGCATTACATTTTCAAGGCTTTTTTTTTTTGACTTTTTATTTAATGCTTTTAATTGTGTTATTTAAAATAAGAGAAATGACTATGTCCCACACCCATTTGTAATATCTCAAAAGATCACTATTAAATTTGGCACAGATCTTTAGAAAAGTCAAGCCCCATACCCATGCAATAACTTTTCTAGAGATCTGTATCAAATTTAATAATGATCCTTTGAGGTCCTACACACATGGGTGTGAGAGGGTTTCATAGGATCATTACTTTTAAAATAATGACATTTTTTTCATTAAATTTGAGATAGTTTCTCTCTTTAGAATTTAATATAGTTTCACTATCTTAAATTTTAAAATACTCTATCTCTAAAACTCAAAATTTGAGATACTTTTTCTTTAAAAATTATGAGATAGTTTCTTTCTCTAACGTGCACTTTTTCTTTAAAATTTTAAGATATGTTCTCTCTAAAACTTAAAACATGAGATAGTTTCTATTTCTAAAAATTTTCATGTAATTTCTTTATCTAAAATTTGATATAGTTTCTCTCAAAAAATTAAGATAATTTCTCTCTTTAAAACTTAAAATTTGATATAGATTCTCTCGCTAGATTTTCAAATAGTTTCTCTCTAAATTTTTTTGAGATAGTGTATCTCTCTAAAAATTTTCAGGTACTTTCTATGTTTAAAACTTAAAATTTGATATAGTTTATCTCTCTAAAATATGATATAGTTTTTCTATCTAAAATTTTAAGATACTTGGTCTCTCTAAACTTAAATTTTGAGATAGTTTTTCTCTAAAAATTTTCAAGTACTCTTTCTCTCTCTCTCTCTCTCTCTCTCTCTCTTCTCTTTAAATCTCATATTTTAGATAGTTTCAATCTTTAAATTTTATGGATTTTCTCTATCTAAAACTTAAAATTTGAGATAGTTTCTTTTTAAAAAAATTTGAGATAGTTTCTCTGTAGAATTTTTCATGTACTTTCTCTCTCTAAGACTTAAAATTTGAAATAGTTTCTGTCTAAATATTTTGAGATAGTTTCTCTCTCTAGAACTTAAAATTTAAGATATCTTCAATCTAACAATTTTGAGATGGTTTCTCTCTCTAAAATTTTAAAGTACTTTTTCTATCTAAAATTCGAAATTTAAGAAGTTTCTCTCTTTAAAACTTTTGAGATAGTTTCGCTCACCAATGCCAAAAAATTTGGTATAATTTCTCTATCTAAAATCATGTACTTTCTCTTTTTTAAGCTTAAAATTTGAGATAATTTTTCTCTCTAAAAATTTTAAAATAGTTTATCTCTAAAAAAATTTTGGCACTTTCTCTCACTAACATTTTATATAGTTTCTTTCTCTAAAATTTAAAAATAGTTTCTCCCACTAAAACTTAAATTTTGATATAGTTTATCTCTTTTAAAATTTTGAGATAATTTCTCGCTCTAAAAATTTCTAGATTGCTTCTCTCTCTAAAAATAAGTATGATTTCTCTCTCTAAAATTTTAATATACTTTCTCAATCGAAAAATTACAATTTGAGATACTTTCTCTCTCTATTTTGTGGGGGTAGTGTATTTGAAATGGGGAAATCTGTTTGGAAATCAAATTTTGAGGGTAAAAGCAAGGGTATAGATTTCTTTATTTTAGGCTAGAAATAAGGAAAATAATTTCCAAAATAAATACTTTATTCCAAAAATTCCAAAATGTGCCATCTTACAAAAAAAAAAAACATTTTATATGACCCCTTAGCTGATTTAATTTTTCTTGGACAAACTTCAAGCCTTTGTTCTCTTTACCTATTTGAACTAGGCCCATGCATCTGCTACGGAGCTAAAAGCCACTAAACAAAAAGGTTAATATAGCTTGTCTGGTTTGTTTAGGACAAACTTCAATGCTGAAATCCTCCTTTTGTGGAGACTGATTTGTCTAACACCGAGCTATACCCTAAAAAGACAAAAATAAGTTCGAAAATATAATAGCATCAGACTCAAACATCCAAAAAAAAAAAACAAAGATTGAAGTCTAAACCATGTAAAATTTAAAATTGTGTTTGAACAATGTTTAGAGTCTAAACAATGTTTAGATACCACCATTTTGGATTTGAAAGAAATCCCTAGAATGGGGTCCACTTAAAAGGCCTATCAAGATGAAGCTTTAACAATGTAAAATTTAAAATTGCGTAGTCCAGAAGTTTTTATCATAAAATACCCTCGGTAGAAAATAACTTTTGCCTATAAATATTTCATATATTTTAGAGAGGCTGTTTTGAATGTTTTAAAATCTTTTTAAAATTCAATTTTGAATTAAAAAATATTTTTTTAATTTTTTTATGAATGATAATTGAATTTTCAGTGTAAATTTACTAAAATGCTTTTCTCAAATTTTTCAAGTAACTCATTAGTAATATAATTTTTACATTTGTATGGGAATTTGATGTTTTATATATATATATATATAGCGAAAGGATGCCCTACGCAGCACACGCATGAGAAGCTCAAGCGCTAACGGCTAAGATGGGTGGAAAGCAAATGAGTAGTGGGAATTCAAACACAAGCATTTCTCTCTCTACGAAACCCCCTCGCTCTCTCCTCGCAGCCCAATCCTACGAAACCCATTTCTCACGGAGCATCCCATCTCTCTCTTTTTGTAGCAAACCCATTAGCAGGGAGCATCCAATCTCTCTATGAAACCCTCTCTCTCTCTCTCTCCTCACAGCCCAACCCTACGAAACCCATTTCTCACAGAGCATCCCATCTCTCTCTCTCTCTCCTTGCACACCCCTCTAATCGTGGCAGCCATTTCTCACAGAGCATCCCTACGCGAGCTGCGTACGAAACCCATTCTCACAGACCTCACAGCCCAATCCCTCTATTCGTGGCAGCCGTTTCTCATAGAGAAACCCTCTCTCTCTCTCCTCGCAGCCCAACCCCTCCAATTGTGGCAGCCATTTCTCACACAAAATCGCAGAAGAAGCAGCAGCAGCAGAGCCCTCTCTCACAGTATAAACACCCAAAATCACATAAAAAGGTATGGGAAGCTCCATTTTTTCCTTTTTTTTTTAGGGTTATTTATTTATTTTGTTTCTTATTCAGATGTTCTATTTGTTGTGCTTTCTTCTAATTTTCAAGTTTTTATTGTGATTTCGATTTCATTAGTGTGTTTATTAGGATTACGTATAAGTTTTGTATTATGGGTGTTATTGGCTTCTTGTATTTCAGCTCTGCTGCTGCTGCTTCTGTCTTCTCTCTCTACACAATTAAAAGATTGAATGGCACTAGGACTTGGGTTTCTTCTTTTATGTGGATATCTTCTTCCTTTACATAATGGGTTATGTATAAACAGTAATGCATACCTTTATATCCTTTTGGATTTTAATTGCATAAGCATCAATATAATGTATTATGAAATTATTTACTTGTTGTGAATGCATTATGAAATTGTGTCTATCAGATATAATCAAGTGCAATTTGTAGATCAAATTGGATGGATTTTTTATGGAAATGAGTCAAACTTATGTCAATGCATGGAATTATTAATTGTTCTTATGGAAAATTATCAATGGCCTCTGTTTCTTATCTGGTAGTCTGGAACTTACTTTCTTAAGCCATTTTTGTTATTGAGAAAGCATTACATAGAGGTACTACCTATGCTACATAGACAAGGTGGCATATATGCTATGTTTTGCTGATTCAAATTATACAACAGTTCACCATTCAGGTACTTGGGTATTTTAAATGGCTTTTAAAATTTGAAAATGAATTTTATGCTTTTCTAGGTAGTTGGGTATTTTAAATGGAATCAACATTGCCTTGTCGAATCCTTCTACTAATGTATTTTTGCCCTCTAATTTTCATCTTCGCATGCTTTATTATCCACATGCTAATGCAAAAAAATTCTGATATGTCAATTGTCGGCGGCCTTATTAATCATGTGCCATTGTAAGCACATTTTGATATGTTAAATGTTGTACACATTACTTTGAGAGTTAAGTTCACATTAATAAGGGTGTCACCCCTGTTGTCTACAATTGCTTTGAATATGGTTAATCCTATAATGGAAGCAATAAAATTTGAATAGTTAACAAATGGGCTATCTGGTCTACTAGGAGGTACTACCTATGCTGCATAGACAATGTGGCATATATGCTATGTATGAGTTTTGCATTTTGGGTGTTATTGGGTTCTTGTATTTCAGCTCTGCTGCTGCTGCTGCTACTTCTGTCTTCTTTCTCTACACAATTAAAGGATTGAATGACACTAATACTTCGGCTTCTTTTTTTATGTGGATATCTTTTGTGTTCTGCGGGACACTATGAAATCCATATCTTTCTAACAAGATATGATGCTCTAGTTTTGGACTAATTCAATCTTTCTTCACATGCAAAGCCATTTTGGATGGACAACCAACCAACACAGCCATGCAATAGGGATTTAATCATGATATGGGTTTGGCTGCTCTAGATGACTTGGCGGATATAGAAAGGTTTATGTCTTATTCTTTGTGTCCTTCCTTAATTTCATCTACTGGCATTGTATTACTTCACGTGTGGGTTTCTATGGTTAAATATCTGCTAATGTGGTGTTGAATTCTTTTGCTTCTTTTGTAGGTGACTCGAAACCTCAGTAGATGCTCCGCAATCCTTTAACTATGGTTCTTACAGTCATTTAATGAAGGAATGCCCCAAACCTCATGATATTGTTGCTGTAAAAAATGCTCACAAGAAACACAATATTTCTTTTTTTCTTTAATATCATTTATGAGGTGTTGTTTTCTATTTATTGGATGCTCATCGGTAATTGGCAGAACCTTATCTCTGTATTTTGTTTTATGGAACAGTCTGGAAAATGTTTTTATAGGTCTGCATTTGAGTTGCTAGTTTGTGACATTTAGGATGGGAAGCAAGCATGCTTTTTTGTAATGGAATTTGTATACAAATACTTGTGTTGTAAAGGGAGCTTCAGTCACAGTGATCAAACTTTAAGATTCAAACAGTTGTATTGAACTTGTTGAAATCGTTGAAGAAATATTACGAGTCTGGCCAATTGTCATGTACAATATATCTTGTTTGCTTCCGTTGTGATTTTGTTGGAGGACCTCGCCATAGCCAATCACTCTTTTATTGTTTTTCAAAAGTTCTCTATTCATTTCTACAATTTTTTTGTTTTTGTTCTTAGTAACCTTTTATTTTTTATTTAAGAAAAAAAATTTGGAAAAGAGAACTTCTGTTAGCTGTCATCCTTTATTGAGAAGATGTTCAACGATGGGTGTTGTTTACTTGCTCTGCTCTTTTCTTTCATATGCACCTAAGTTATTTGGACTTTCATTTTACAATGGTTATTTCCCTACTTTGAAAGTCTCATTACACAGTGATATAATCTTGCAACTTGTTGCAAGATGCTGTCGAATATTAAGTCGAACTGCACTCCTCCCCTCTCCCTGTTCACACTGAACAATATATGACTTGTTTCTTCTACTTTGTAATAATTAGAAATTATTGAAGTGCAAATGGATGTGAGTGCCTCATTGAATGAATTTCTTTTTTCTTTCTTGCTCTCCATCAGTAATTACCAAATCTAAAAAATAAATTCCAAGGAGAGAGAGAGAGAGAGAGCAAGATACCAGATGCCCGGTTGAAGAGGGTGGCATTTAGAGTATGAGAATATAAAACCTTACTAAGAAAAAGAAATTTTCAAGAGATATTCATTTCCTTTGTTTCCTTTTTATGAAATTGAGAGGTAGGTCTAGACCTTTGAACTAGATAGCATGTCATCAGTTTCCACAAATGCTGGGGGGTATCCATGGCGAACATGTCCACGGTGCAACTTACAATGCAATTTAAGTACATCAAGCTCCCTATCTAACCCTGGAATAATGCACTACCAGTGTCCCAATTGTGGCGGCTGTTGTTAAGGGGCGTAGTATTCATTTCTTTTCTATATTGAAAAAATAAACTATACCCATTGTAAAAGAACTATAAGTGCAGATTACTACTTTTTACGAAACAGTTCACATTCACTAAACAGATAAGCAAATTCCCTCTATAATTAACATCAGGGCTTCAAACATTGTGCTTACATATTCCTGTATTTACTGTTGAATTATTTCCATACAACACAATCACCACATTCGCCACACATATGTCCACTACAATACTGTATTTTACCAAAAAATGATTACTGTCCCCATTTCCATAGAACACAATCACTAGATTCACCACACATGTCCATTACAAAACTTCATTTCATCAAAAAAATGACTCTTTACTGCCCCATTGCCATACAACACAATCAACACATTTACCACAACTATAGAGCGTGTAACAAAAAATAGCTCTTGAACTATAGCAAGGAGCGTGTAACAAAAAATGGCTCTTGAATCTTTTCCAAAAATTTACTGCATCTTCTGTGGAGCATCTTTTCGACCTGCAACAATACGAATAGTCTTGATCTATTTCACACTGAAATAAAGGAGAATGTCTTGATCTTTTACCAAAATGCACAATGATAAAAGCGTGGAACACATGGAGAGAGACTGAAGAGCATCTTTGTTGGCTTAAGTGAATACTAACTATTTATGAACCTGAAGGAAGATACCCATAATTGGGAATTTAGAGGGAGAGAGAATCAAACTTGTGTCTTTACTTTTACATTGATTAAATTTTCAACTACTAGTTTGTTGCACCAGGGGGGACATGATGAGAGAGAGGTCAAACATAAAGGTTAAATTTTTTAGGAATGAGAGACATGCAGCATACATCATGCACATGCATCCGCAACATGAAAGCATACATAAAATATTTCATACATAGATCCATAATATATAATGTTGTTTACCACCAATGTTCATGTCCCACGTTGGACTGAATGTGGACTTTGGAAATAACCATGTAGTAAGAAAAGAAATAGCAATATTAGCATTTCATAATGCATTCACAATGAGTAATATCATATGGAAATTCTAATTCATCTTGATTTAAAAGCTTATACCATTATTTGAAAAATCGCCTGATCTAACCGCTAACCGCTCGGTTAGATCGGAACTGCCCCTTGCTAGTTCTGGTTTCGGGCGGTTTTGGTGATCGGTCTGTATTTTAAAAATAAAATCCCCAAAATAAGGAATTTGATTAGTAATATATTTTTTAAATATTTTTACATTATGGTAATTATTAAAAATTATTTTGGTCATTAATACTCACTTTTAAAATCCATTTTTTTCATTAATTTTCAACTTCATTTGAATGTGTTTTGTTTTAATAATTCTTTATATGATTTTCATATTTTAGTAGATTTTTTGTTTGCATCTTTTTTACTTTTTTCAACAATTTTGGCTGCCCGGGACTTGCCCGATTAGAACGGTTGAATGAGCCGGTTTACCAGTTAGGCCGGTTAAACCGCTTCTTGCCCCATGTCAGGTTAACCGTTCTGGTTTGATTTTGCGAACACTGGCTTATACAATTAAAATTCAAAAGAATCTAAAGGTATGGATTACTGCTTTTCACGAATGACTGATGGACAATTTCTTCTGTCATGCCCACTGCCTTGGCAAACTGCGTATTTCCTAGACTTTTTCACTGGCTTCCATCCCTCTGATCGAGTTTTTCTTGTTGCATTTGTCGGCCGTCCCTTTGCCCGTGCTCGTGGAGAATCAAGAATATTTTGGCAGTTGTAACTTCCATTTAATGTGTCATTACAACTAGTAGTACTCCTCTCATCATTGACGTGGCTCATGGTGCCAACCTGTGGACGTCGCTTACAACCGAATTTACCATCACCATTTATGATATCATCGTGCATTAAAGATATTACAAATTCATGAACCTCTGCACTTTCTGATGCACGCTCAGCGAGGTATCGAACAGCCTGTAATACCATTATATCTAATGGAGCGTGGTAGTGTAGATGTATGATGAAGTTGTTTGCCACTTTCATCAACAAAAATCCCCTGCTTTACGTCCTTTGACCAACGCCTCATTATGTATTGTGGAGGGATTTCAAAAATAGTTTCATCATAAAAATCTTCAACACATACTTGCAAAGAATGCCCATCCTCTCATATAAGTAACGATTGCAAGAAGCCATCTTCTCATGGGGATTGAATTCCACAAAGTATGATCTACATCTAGTTCCCATATCTGCCACCTTAAAAGTGGCAAGCTGTCCATTTTCATCAACTAACTCACTCATAAAATCCATACAATTGACAACCGCTTCCACAAATATCTTCAAAATTGTTTGAGTATAGATTTTTTATGCTTGTGACTCAAATAAAGAATATGTTATTAAGATTGGAGTAGTTGTAATATCTTTTAAGTCGTTTTTCTTTTCTTTTCTTACCTTTGCACATATTTCCAATAATGTACGTAAGCTTGTTTTGGATGTCAAGTGCATCTTGAAATGCTTATTCATCCCTTCATTTCTTTGAGTAGAAGTCATATTAGTTGTGAACCTGCCAGCCAAGTATACATCCACCCATTGCATGTGACAACCATAAAGCCTATTTGGCCATTCATTGCTTTCCAACTCATATTTCTCAATAATTAATTCCATACCAGTTCATATTCTTTTACTGTTGGGCTAACTATACAACTCTTGAAGGTATTTGAAAAAGAAGGATGCATGCGCAAGACATGACATAGTTTTTCTTTAACTTTCGAAAGTATATGCCACTTACAGTAATGATGCTCACTCTGGTAAAAAACTTGTCTCACTGCGGCTGAAATTGCATGGTGTTGATCAGTGAGAATAATGCCTAGTTGTTGTCCACCCATTGCTTCTAATTAATTTTCAAATACCCAAACAAATGATCTACCTTCTCATTAAATATGAGTGCAAATCTAAAAAAGATTGCATTGAAATGATGATTTACACCAAGTATGGGTGCAAAGAACATACTAAAACTATTTGTTTTGAATGTGATATCAAATGTAACCACATTAGAGAAGCATTGATAGGAAAATTTATATGTGGCTTCTACTCATAAGATGTTGAGAATGTGATCGTCTTCATTTAGTTTCAATCTATAGAAAAAAGATGGATTCGATTCTTTCATTTTATAGAGCCATTGCATAATTAGACTACCATCTTCTCCTCTTAGTTTTCTTCTCGCACTAGCAATTTCATTTTCGATGTCCTTTTGTGTACATGTGGCATTCTCGATCCCTCTAGCTTGCTTTATAAATATGTCTTGGCTTAACCATTGCCGAACTCATTGAATTTATCATCAACTTTGTGGCACTAGATATTGTTCGGTGACTGCGAATTAGACGAGCATTTTTTGGACTGACTAGATCGTGATTGTGATCATCAATAAACTTAGTCACAACCCACTCGTTGTCTGCTTTTCTACTCGGCCCTAGCTTAGTCTTACACCCACACATTGACTCAAGGAGTTCCTTTCCATTGACCTGATCTTTTACTTCGTGAAATCCTTCCTTAGAGCAATTAATTTCTCTATCAATCCTTTGACTCTTTTTATTATGGTTAGTACCCTTACGGATACCAAAACTTTTGGCCAATACATAAGCCTTATAGTAGTCAATTGCATCTTCCTCTGAAGAAAACTTCAGTCCTACATAGGGTACATTTGTTTCTAGGCCTTTGGTTGAGGAGTCAGGTTCTCCATCTTGTATTTCTATGAATTTTCTATGAGGGGTTGCAAGATAAGGAACCTGCTCCATGGGCTCATTGATGGCACCCATGTTGTCCACAACTGCGCGAGTGGGAGATGACACACAGTTTGAAACGGTATGATCTATCTAAGTTTTTCAATTGACCCTACATAAGAACACAAACTATTTAAATATATGCATGAAAACCTTTATATAAACAAAACAACACTCCTAGCAGACTAGATAGCCCATTTGTTAACTATTCAAATTTTATGGCTTCCGTCATAGGATCAACCATATTCGAAGCAATTGCAAACAACAGGGGTGACACCCTTATTATTGTGAACTTAAATCTCAAAGTAATGTGTATAATATTTAACATATCAAAATGAGCTTACAATGGCACATGAATAATAAGGCAGCTGACATTTGATATATCGGAATTTTCTTGCAATGGCATATGGATAATAAAGCATGCAAACACAAAAATTAGAGGGCAAAAATACATTAATAGAAGGATTCGACAAGGCAATGTTGATTCCATTTTAAATATCCAACTACCTAGAAAAACATAAAAGCCATTTTCAAATATAAAAAACCATTTAAAATACCCATGTACCTTAATAGTGAACTTTTGTATAATTTGAATCAGCAAAACATAGCATATATGCCACCTTGTTTATGTAGCATAGGTAGTACCTCTATGTAAAGCTTTCTCAATAACAGAATGACTTAAGAAAGTAAGTTCCAGACTACCAGATAAGAAACATTGGCCATTGATAATTTTCCATAAGAACAATTAATAATTCCATGCGTTGACATAAGTTTGACTCATTTCCATAAAAAATGCATCCAATTTGATCTATAAATTGCACTTGATTATATCTGATAGAAACAATTTCATAATGCATTCACAACAAGTAAAGAATTTCATAATACATTATATTGATGCTTATGCAATTAAAATCCAAAAGGATATAAAGGTATGCATTACTGTTTATACATACATTATGTAAAGGAAGAAGATATCCACATGAAAAAAGAAACCCAAGTACTAGTGCCATTTAATCTTTTAATTATGTAGAGAGAGAACATAGAAGCAGCAGCAAAAGAGCTGAAATACAAGAACCCAATAACACCCAAAATACAAAACTCATATAATCCTAATAAACACACCAATGAAATCAAAATCACAATAAAAACTAAAAAATTACAAGAAAGCACAGCAAATAGAACATCTGACTAAGAAACAAAAACAATAAATAACCCTTAAAAAAAAAAAAAGCAGCAGAAAATGGAGCTTCTCATACCTATTTCTATGTTTTGCGTATTTATACTGTGAGAGAGGGCTCTGTTGCTGCTGCTTCTTCTGCGATTTTGTGTGAGAAATAGCTGCCACAATTAGAGGGGTTGGGCTGCGAGGAGAGAGAGAGAGAGAGGGTTTCTCTATGAGAAATGGCTGCCACGATTAGAGGGATTGGGCTGCGACATCTGTGAGAATGAGTTTCATCCGCAGCTCGATTAGGGATGCTCTGTGAGAAATGGCTGCCACTATTAGAGGGTTTGAGCTGGGAGGAAAGAGAGAGACAGAGACAGAGATGGGATGCCCTGTGAGAAATGGGTTTCATAGGGCTGGGCTGCGAGGAGAGAGAGGGTTTCGTAGAGAGAGAGATGCGATACTCTGTGAGAATGAGTTTGCTACAGAAAGAGAGATGGGATGCTCTGTGAGAATAAGTTTGCTACAGAAAGAGAGATGGGATGCGCTGTGAGAAATGGGTTTCGTAGGGTTGGGCTGCGAGGAGAGACAAAGAGGGTTTCGTAGAGAGAGATGGGATGCTCTGTGAGAATGGGTTTCGTAGAGTGAGAGATGGGATGCTCTGTGAGAAATGGGTTTCGTAGGGTTGGGTTGCGAGGATAGAGAGAGAGTGTTTCGTTGAGAGAGGGAAATGCATCTATTTGAATTCCCATCACTCATTCGCTTTTATAGGGATTTCGTCAACTTTTCATCACCGTCTAAGTTTCATTGCGTGGTCACAATTATTTGGTAATATTTTATTTTTTATTTTTTTTATTAATCAGAATGACCTGAAATTTACAGAATATGTACATTTTACTGAGGTACATCTAAATAAAAAAAAAAAATTCCGTAAAAAAACAATTGATCAAAATACCCTCAAAACTTTTGGGGGGTATTTTGATCAATATTTTTAATGTAAAATATTGTTTTTATATTTTTTGTAGATTTTCCTTTTATTTATAAACACACGCTCCAATTTTAAGGTCATTCCGATTTGTAGAAAAAAAATGAAAAATGAAATACTATGGGACAATCGTGATCGCGCGATGAACTATGACGATGGGAGTAAGCAAAATGGTTGTTCATTTTAACCTGAAAATTGGAGCGTGTTCATAAAAATAGGGGAATCTTTGAAAAATATAAAAAAAATATTTTACATTAAAAAAATTGATCAAAATGCCCTTCGAAAAGTTTCAAGGTTACTTTGGTCAAGATAATTTTACTAATTATTTTTTTATATTTTTATTAAGTGCATTTAACTAAGATGTACACTTGATCCAAATTTCAAGTCATTCTAATTTATAGAAAAAAATAAATAAAATAAAATACTACCGAACAATTGTGAACGTACGATGAACTTTGGATGGTGATGAGTATAGACGAAATCACTGTTCATTTTCACCTATAGCCATTGAG